TTTGCAGAAATTATTTACCGATGCAAGATCCTAGAAAAGTTATACCGAACGGTTAGCTGACTTTTAAAATTAAAAAAGTATAGTTACACACATCGCAACATACATCGCTATCCAGCACAGCATACAAAAAAAATAAACCAAGGAGAGGTTTAAACTACGTACCTGCTTCTTAGCTTACCTGATAAAGGATATGTGCAACGTTAGCGTTTATATGGATATAAAAAAAACTTAAAATTAAATTAAAGAGATTTGAACATAAATTCATCCGTTCACAAATGGGATAAGAAGAAATTCTTCATAGAAAAAAGTGATATCATCAAGCAAATAGGGATGAGGATGGCGGGAAAGTCTTGAAATTCAGTATAAAAATTCACCGAAACTTGTTCTTATATAGTTCTGCTACTGTGCAAGAATGGTCGTAATCAACCTACCGACACAATTTTAATTAAGAAAAATTTTCGTCATTATTTTGCTACCTTTCATGGGAAAATAATGTGTATTTAGGGCTATGTTCTTGTTTGTAGCACGCACTCATTTACTTTATAAAAGCGTAAAATAGTTGTTAGTTAATATAACATCGTTCGTTCCGCTATCGGACCATCTATGTCTGTCATTTATTTCAAATGCAAGCCATAGCAAAAAATGTTACCTTTACTTACTTAGTTTGAAAATGGGTGCGATTTACCTGCAGCCATGTCCACAATAATGGGAAATTTACCAAGACCATCTAAAGCTGCAGGGACACAGCAAACAACACGCCCAAAATAGACAAAATCGCCATATAATTAATTAGCTGCGATATACCAAACAAGATATGGATCTAAAACTTTTTATAGATATTTCTTACAAATTTATACGAATCGCTCCAAAATTTGCCAAATTTAATATGACCTTTGCCATTTGTGGCGTATCGTTCCGAGGATTCATCCATAAAGTATGGCTTCGCCTTGATATAGTCATCCGCAACGAATATTTGTTTCTTTGCTCACCATGTCGGGTGTCAGGTGTTCGTTTAAAAGCTTTTCTGCTTCTTTGAGATGTGCGTGAGGTAATACTGTTTTTATCGTTCATATATCTACCGTTAAGAGATATCATCTCACAAATGCCGACATCAGCAAGAAAACATGCACAATTATCTATTTAGCAATATATGTATATATATATATATATATATATGTGTGTATGTACATATAACGCATTAAAAATAGTAATGCGATCCAATAAATCTTGCATGGGTGGTTTCACATTCCGTTTTGTGATAAATTAGTCGACAGCTTTGTCTTTCTTTCTCTTACATGACTTGTGGATCCAGAAATGGAAGGAAGAGTAAAGTTGAACACAAAGCGATAGAATGTTATGATCTTAAGAATAATTTTAAGGATTTTTGGTACTAGTACTGAAATATCCTCGGTACGGTATAAAAAATTTGAATAAATTTCATATCAGCATTCGCTGCACAAGTACTTCGATCGATCTCATGTTAAACTTTAAATTTTTTGCTAGAGGCATACGCTTGTGTGCTCACTTCTCAATGTAAAGCTCATCTTCAAAGCATATTACGTAATTAAAAAATATATATATGTAAATTTGTTGCTTTCATTTATTTCATACTTTCATGTTCATAAAAATGCGGTGTTAATTAACACTGTTATCGACCAATGAGATTTTCTCCGACGCCTGATTTATGACTTGTGTATGTATTTTCAGCTGTGTAGAATATAAAGTCAAGTGAAAATTCCCATTACTAGTTGTAGTAAGAATGACCTTGAAATTACTCTACATCACTACATTAATATAATTCTTTATTTAGTATAAAAACTTTATTTCATTTAGGGGAAATCTTATAGGGGAGCTTAGACTTAAACTGCTGTGGTCCCAAGTATAGTCAAATTGGTTTTCTTGTCCAAAGTTTTTTTATTATTCATCTTAAGATGTATTTCGCTTCATAAAAACTATACAAAAAGTAAGATTTTTTTGTTACCAATCAAACTACCAAAGCCCTTAAGAGAAGAGTGAATTTCAAAAAAAATATCTTGATAAGTGTAACCTTGGTACACCTAATTTTCATATCAAATCGTTATCATAAGGTATTAGAAAAGGAGCTTTCGTGTAATGTAAAAGCTTACCTTTTGCAGGAGGGGTTAGAGGGGGTTTAGAGAGACAGTTTAAAAAATTTTCCCATATCTGTCATATGAATTTAGGAAAATGAATTCTTTAAATGAAGCCATTGTATAGAAGTCGCCAATTAAAAATCGCGGCCCGAAGGAGAACATGTGTAGGGCATGGTGCAGATTAGCCCAACTCCGACCGTCTATTCTTATTAAGCTAAAGCAGATGCATTTCTTTTAATTGTAACTGTCTGTGGAGTGTTCAAGAGACAATAACTTGATCTTCCGAACTAGCTAGCTCAGCAATGATGCGCGCGACCGCCTCTTACAGCCTTCAATTCTCTTAAAATGGCCCTTAAGCTTGACACTGAAAACTAATAAAAGATCCTAAAGTTCTAAATTTAGACAGACAGTGAGGGCGTACAAACACATACTTACTATGCGTTGCACAAAAGACCGAAAAGGAAAATTATCAGATTATATATACTCAGTAAGATGCACCTTTGACTCTACGACTTGAAAAAGGAAAGAAACCTGTGCGACCTGTACGTTTAACACGGAAATGTTGATGGACCGACAGAGACAAGCTTAAATCGATTCAGAGAATGATATGGAATCAGTTCGTGTAGTTGAAAGTTCGCCTATCTTTACCGCTACTGGATGTTGTCAACGTAAGCGCGCAAATTTACTTAATTCATAGTTCAACTCACTATACTCACATATATGGCGTAGGGTATAAATAAGAAAAAATTTATTTCCAACATTCTTGTTCTTTTGTAGGTGTGTTGTTACGTTACGTTCAAAAATATTTTCTTGTAACAAATTTTTACATTCTATGGCGGCTTTTCAAATCATTTTTTTTTTTTTCATCATCATTTTCATTTGACTTTCTTCCTGACGTAATGGTTGTTGTTGTTAAGACATTAAGACTAAACTATTATATCTAAAGTGGGCGTATGATTTATAAGATAATAGCTAAACCATTCACTTGCGTGCACAGATTTCAATACTTTCTATTTCAATTCAAAATATTTTCAAGTGGGAAATGAAAAAGCGAATGTTTACCTTAATCTTGCATCACAAATGTTATTGACTTTAAAACTTGATTTTTTTGTGTTAAACCTTTAACAACAACTAACGAAAGTATACTAATTTTGCTTCTTTTTATGTGAGATAACCAGGTGTAAAAACTTCAGAATATATAGATGAAAGTTTATTTTTGATAAGTTGCAAGTTTTTCGAAAGTTCAATTTAACATTTTCTTTTGATTGCGCTTTTGTCGTTTTGTTTTTTTTTTTGTCTTTCATTCCTGGTAGTCTCTGACTATCTGTTCAGCTTCTTAAGTCAAAAATTAAAACATTAGGTAAATTTTTACTTTATTTTCATAGATTAAAAGTTTAAAAGTTATTGCGTGAGTCAAATACATAACAACAACAACAACGACAACAACAACAAAAATAGAACCGCAAAAATTTCGAAAAAAAACTTAAAATTTAAAAATATTAAATTGCTGTTAATTGTTAGTGTACATTAGACATGTATGGGGAAAGCACAAAGCAATAAAATTAGTACATTTTCACGCCTTAACCTTAGGCTATAAAGATAATTAAGCGAAGTCTAAGATTTTTCCATTAAATAATTGAAATATTAAATTGCCGTCTGTTGGATAGAGTGTCGTGATTTAACGCAACTACTACTTAGCTGCTCATTTTTTATCCATCACCGAACGATCAGCGATGTACTCGTTTTGTCAAAACGTTTGCAACATCCAATAGTAAGCATCAGAGACAAACACAGAGAATGTATACATTCTTGATCAGCATCATATTTTAAAACGATTCAAGCATGTCCGGCTGTCCGGCTGTCCGTCTGTATAATATCTGTTGTAAATATTCTCCTGGCAGCAAAAATTAAGCCATCAATTTCAAATTTGGCAGACACATTGGAAATTCTTGCAAGGGAAGTTGGCACTGAAAATGAGCCAAATCGGTGAAAGACACGCCCACAATACCATGCAAACTGAGAGCAACTCTGTTTTTCAAAATGCTTTTTTGCTCATTACTCGCAAACTAAGGCAGATATATGTTCGAAATTTTGAACGCATACTCTATAGCCGATGCTGTCGAATTTGTGCACAAAAATGGAAACAATTCACCACACCTACCCGATATTATGGTGTATCAAAATTTAATTATTTTTTCAATACCTTTATAATGCGCACAAACAAGCTTCAAAAATCCCATAAAGTATACAAATTCCTGTCCAATTTTAAATTTGGAGTGCGCTTAAACATGCCCGTCTGCTAGTCTGTCCATCCGTCTGTGTGCAACTGTATAGTATTTGTGGTAAACGCACAAATTTTCAAAAGGATATGGATCTAAGGGCCAGCCTACAACGCCCCCACGCCTATATAACAAAAACTTTTATTTTGAAAATGAAAGAAATCAGCCAGGGCCAGCTCATATTATAGAGCATGTTCTTTTACTCTTGTTAGGATCACGGTGATGGGTATAAAAAATTCGGGCTCAACCAAATAATTATTTTAATTGTTTTAGACATGGGAAAGGAGGTAAATAAGATTTGGGGGACGAAAAATGGCTAAATATAATTTAATTGATAAAGAAATATGCATCAAAGATCATCAACACCTACACATTCTTTTCTCTCGATTTGACCACGAACGTCCATCTGTTTTAGCATTAGCGAATATCGATGAAAAAAGCTGAAACTAATTATTCCTAAAATAGTTTGATACTTCATTATTAACAGCGGATATAACTCACACATTAATGCTTTTGCTCTAATTAAAGAATTCTATTCGTCTTAGTTTATATTTAGAAATAAATTGCGATCTACAAAACTTCTTTCGAAAAAAAAAAAACATCGCGATATTCAAAATTTCGATACTAAAAAAAAATAAAACCGTGGTATGTAAAATTCAGAGTGAAAAGTGCAAAGGATAAAACTTGGTCAACGAATGAAAGGAGTGCATTAAATTTTATTAACGCATAAGTACATGTGCACTTGCTCAGTTATGCATATCCATTTTTCGAAACTATGTCGTTCTCGCATACTTGATGTTTCTCTAAAGATTTGTTATAAACAATTTTACGTTAAGTGTATGCATTTCATGTTCGTCAGCTAATAAATAAAAACCGAATTCCAAAAATGAGATTCAAGACGTAGAAAAAGTACTATGGTTATAGGTGGGAAAGACTGTGTATATGTGTGGGTGGTGTGGGTTCAAGTAAATTCATAGCAAACTGTGCTCATAGGCTGGGCTTCAGCGTCTTCGGCTTGCTACTCAACCAGGCAGTTTTTTAAACACAAAGTGGCAAGTGGCAAAGTTTAAGTGGCAACTTTAGTGAAAGACAACTAAAATGTTTGTAATTAGCCAAGGGGCGCCTTTAAATGTAATACACCACTTGGTTTAATACAGTTAGTCATGTAAAATTTCAAAACACAAGATTATATGGGAACTGATCGAGAAGATGCTATCCAAATAGTGGTCAATAGCGTGTACCCCTAGATGAAAACGCGTTGTTGTGCTCAATTGTATGTATGTACGTATGTACACGATGGGCCTATTCCAAATCCTTCACTAGGATTATCTGTTCGTTCATGCTTCTGATATCCGTCCATACTTTTTTTGTTTTTTGATGTTCAATTGGTGTACAGTTCCCTAAATTTTTTAAGATATTTTGATGAAATTGGGCAGACCGATGTATTTTCATCGAAGAACGAACGCTATTGAAAAAGTTTTGGATCGGATCTTTTCAACCACTGCTCATAAACCGCTTCACGCAGAAACATAATATAACCTGTACCAACAAGCGGGACAAGGCAACTTTGTATTAAGTTAGGAGTTTTAAGGAGAGACAAAGCAAGTGGACATCGTTCTGTTAATGCTTGATAATTTGTCTGATCTGAACAACTCTTCGTTCAACTTTTTCCATGAAAACTATATTCGTCTTGTGAAGAATATTTAAGGATAGACTCATGGCAGGCATTGTGTCATGAATGTTTCTTTTTTGACGATAAGCTGGTCTAAGATGTCTGTGGATAGAGTTCTAACCCTTCATTTTTATTGAAATTGCGAACTTTTTTCATGAAAGCCGAACATTGTTCGCAATTGTTTACTTTCCCTCGATCTCAGTGCGAATAAACTCGAAGACAGGTTCCTAAGCTTTCGTTGTTGCGGTTGTCTACTTTCTCTTGATATCATTTCGAAGAAACCACGCAACGGTTTAGCGGTCAGTATAGAGGAAATGAATAAAAGTTATTCGAAATATGTTCGGGACGCAATTCCTAAGCTTGTGCATGTCACCCACTCCCCTTGCTTGAGTAGCATAAAATGCGAATTGATGGCTTTAAGTGATAAGTGATAAATATCAGTAATGACGTTTCCAATTAACCGATATCTGAGAACTTTTCTACTGTCATGCACTTCGTGCGTATATAACACAGTCGCCGCAATCTACATCTACGAGCGGTATGCTCATTTTGAATTCACACCCATACGCATACGTCAGAGGTAATTAAAAACTTACATTAAATGAAACCCAGAAGAAAACATCTTTTTCCAATAATTGCGATGTATTTCGTTGATTATATGTATAGCGTTGCATGTAAAAATGATTGTTTTCTTGAATGTAATCAGATGTTTGCCGTTATTGCTTGTTGTATGTTATTGTTGTTGTTGTTATATATCTTCTTGCAGTTGTCACATTGCAAGTTTGCCTTGTATGCTCGGTGGTTGTAGCAGCAATTTGCTTACTTCTTTTTTTTTTTTTTTTTTTTGAAAATTTGCTACACTGTCGTGATGTGAAGCATTATCGAAAACACCCTTATTGTGTCGCGTTTTCTTTTTTCGTCTTCTTAACTTCAATGCAACCACTTTTTTAATATTTTTTTTTTTTTTTTTTTTTTTTTTTTTTTTTTTTTTTTTTTTTTTATTATTCCTTTTTATTACTCTCTGATTAATTAAAGCATATAGAATTTAAGAAAAATTCTTCATATCTTCATTTTGAAAAAGAAATATTTATTTTTTCGATATTCGTATACATTGATAAATTTTTCTTTCTTTCTTTCTTATTATTTTTTTTTTTTTATTTTTTTTTTTTTTTTGTATTATATTTATCTTAATTTACACACACTTACACTTGCTGGGGTAATGCTATGTGGCTTTTGTAAGGATCTGTGGCATTGAATGCCTAATATAGATAAATACACGCGCACACTATATACACACTGGCGATGGGCTTGTAACTTAAATAAGTTAACTTAGCGAAACGAATAAACTAACCGTTGTTGTGTTGGTTGGTGAAGAAGGCGTAAAGCAGAACGAAAGCGAACGTAATTAAAAAATCGAATTTCAGAGACGATTATTGTTGTAATTGTTTGCTATTAAACGATTAAAAAAAACATTTAAAAAAAAAAAAACGAAATTTGTTTACATGATGATGATGATGATGATTCAGTTTATATTTGTTTATATATATACGTATATATATATATGTATATATTTACACAGATATATTCTCGTTTTCATTTATTTTTATTCTTTTATTTATTTTTTTTTTTGTTTTATTCTTTTTGACAATAAGAAAATCTTTCACTACACACATATATGCAAACAACGCATTGTAGCGCGTGCTATGCGTCTATGCTCATGCTTTACTCACTTGACAATATACATAATACAGATGCAAAAGTGAACGTCAACTTCTAGGCGATCCAAAAGATACAAAGCCGCCTTTAAACGAATGCACTTTTAAAAGTAAAAGGTTGAAAAGAGACCACTATACATCAATATACCGCAGATAGCTTGTGTTATTCACAATATTATAATGAGAGTAAAAATTTTATCAAATTATTAACTAACAAATAGCTATTGTGAATAGATTTTTTTTTTATAACAGCTGTTTGCGAGAAAGGGATAACAAGTGATTAAAAAAAAAAAAAAAAAAAAAAAAGCACAAAAATAAAAATACAGATTAAAGATATATGAACCTGTTCTTATAGGTTGTAAAATAAGAAAAAATTCAATTTTATTTTTCTATTCCCGTAAACACACACATTTAACAATTTTTAACAATTACTAATCTAATCATCTGTTCGTAAACAATTAGAAAATTTCATTTCATTTCACATAATTCTTATTCGCTTATATTGTATACTTTCCGAAAAATTGAATACTAATTGTCGGCATTGCTTCTCTTTTGTTATTCTCCTACTATTCCGTTATATGCGTGCATTGTGTTTGTCATAAGTATCTTACGTTGTATCTTATCTAAAGTAAAAAGCATACAAAAAACATAGAGACAAGAAAAACAAAATTAAAAATAATCTTCAGCGTAAGACGAATCTTAGATACCCATCATGAATTTGTAATCAAAGCAAAGTGTTTCTCTTTAACTCTCCATCGTTTGACCATGTGACTGGTCCTTACTAAGCTTTAAAATAGTAATAGTAATAGTAATAAATCTACCAAATATCCAATAATACTTGCTCAAGGTTATCTGGGTTATCAAGGTCTCACTCATTGCTTGTTTCGATAATTAAAAGTTCAGCTGACAAACTTCCTATTAGGCTTTAAGCTGCGGAAAAGATTACTTTAAATTTTTTTTCTACTAAATTTCTTTAAGCTTTTGACTCTTGTGAATGCTTCACTTCAAGTTTTAAGCTTGATCTGGGCAAGTTTAGTAAGAGGAGTAAGTAAACCCTGTATGTTAGTTTTATACCCATCACCGAGATTATACTTAGTTCGTCACAGCGACTGCAATACTCAGAAGAAAAGTTCAGAAGATATGTAGAGTATATGTAAAGTTGATGATCCTACAGTGCCTGTAGATAAATGGCAAAAATTGTCCATGCCCATCTCTTTTTATAGGGAATTGAAATCAAACTAATTTTTTTTTAGTTATGAATGGGTATAAAAAATTCATCCAAATAGTCGCATAGAGTTAGAGCTTACTTACTATACGAAAAGTAATCGAAACCCGGGGGAAAGAATACAGTTTTCTGTAGCCTGATGTGACTGGCGATAAAAAGCGGATCTACTGCGGCAATCCCAAGCGAAAAAAATTTTGAGTTAATCCAGGAGAGCCATCCCCATCGACACCGAAGCCGAATATTCATGATGGCAAAGCTTTACTGTGCATATGGTGGAATTAGCCAGGCCTAGTATATTACGAGCTGCTAAAGCGGGATAAAATTGTTGCTGCAGATGTCTACCGATGACAATTGAACGATGTGCTGTCGCAAAAATTAGCGGCTAACATATGCAAAGTCATTCGCTTGCTTGACAAGGGTCGACCCAACATCGTAAGAGTTGTCAACGATATGCGGTTGCAGCTCGAACGGAAAGTTCTGCTGCACCTAGCGTACTCACCTGAAATAACGCCATTTAATTACCATATGTTTGAATCGAGGCAGCATGACTTCGCTGCCATTAGGTTTCGAAAGGATGAAGAAGTGCAAAAATGGGTCGATATTTGAATCGCTACCACTATTAATATCATTGTTTCGACACGATATTGTCAGAAAGTTGGGAAAAAATTGTACAAAGTGATGAAAAATACTTTGAGTGATAATATATATTGCACGAATTTCTTTCAATAATTACCTAAAACCATTTAATGAAAACTTAATTATTAATTAATAAATTAATATGTAATTAATATTTTGAGTAATAAATATTGCACCAATTTCTTTTAATAAGCACCTAATAATAAATAAATTATATTTATTTAATGAAAAATTAATTAATTATTAATTAATTAATATTTAATTAATGTTTAATTAATAATAATTAATTATTAATTAGTTAAATGAATTAATGAAAAACCGATATATACATAAATCAACTGCATCTGACCATTATTTGCGGTACACGACAAGATAGGTCGTTTGTAGATAGGTTTTAATGTATCTCGAGTAAAAAAGAGAAGAAAAATGTACTATGGCATGTTGAAAAATCGCATCGGAATGGATTGGGATAATTGACAATCACATCCACATATACCCTAATGTCTCAACGTACAGAAGATGCTATCCTGACCGACATCGTTACATTAACAACATTTGTTTTTAAGATGATTTGTAACTAAAATTGAAAAAAATGACTGGCTTAGCATCAAATAAAATCGAGTACCGAAGGCAACGCCTTCGTACATATTCGTTAGTTACCTCGAATAACATTAAAATAGAAATCTTTCCCGTCTGATATAACGTAAAAAAAAAAAAAAAACAAATTAAAATTAACAAGCGAAGAGCAACATTTAAGAGATTATAGTTTTAAAAAACTCGCTTCAAAAATCAAGTTTATTCTTTATTACTAAACATTTGAAAATTTAATATTAAAATTTTAAGCTATATGTCTATATATGTATATATATATATATTGATAGAGGGATTTCTTAACAAAAACTTTATATTTATCCTTGCGGCCAAAATGGTTGACTCGGATATGGTCGACTGCCAACAAAAGCGTACGGATTACCATTTACTACACGAGCTATATCCGAATATGTTCGGCCACCGCGCTTAGTACCACTGTTGTTCGGATAATATTGTGTTGTTGGTGAATTGCGATAAGAACTTCCATAAGGATATCCGTATTGGGTATTGTATTGATTATAATCAGATTCTCGTCCATATGGACCAAATAATTTATGCTTGAAATCTTTTACAATTGGAAAAAATAAACTGTCACTTAATTTACAAAATACAATTAAAATTAATACAATTATGAATTTATTATTAAACAATTGCATGATTTTCTTAATTTAATTGGTTTTTTTTTTTTTTTTTCTTTAACTATGAACACAAAGCACCGTTTAGAAGTGTTGCTATTGCGCAAATTGCAAAATTTCAAAATCTTACAGTTTTATTTATACTAGAGTGCTTGTCGCTTTATTGTCACTTTATCGCATTCATCTGAACTGCATGTTAAATGTGATCTCTTAAAAAAAAAAACAAACAAAAAAAAAACAAAAAAAAAAAAAACAGAAAAATTCATTTACGTTTCTTGTTAAATATGAAATTCTGTAAGTTTTTTCTTCTTTCTGAAACTGAATCATCAAATTATTCAGATATGTAAATTTTGAAAGATTAACTATTTTCTAAAATTGTCTTCTTCTTTTTTCATAAAAAATGTATTTTAATTTAAGAAAGAAATCCCAACTTAAAGACTCTTATGCTTGCGCTGGCATTGACTTATTATTCTATTCACGTTTCAATATATACATATATATGTATATATATATATATATATATATATTTGTCTTTGCTACAGTAAAATGAGTAAACTTTATCCAAATAAATGAAAAGATCATAAAATAGCGAAGCGTTGAATGACATAAACAGAGAGAAATGCAACAAAATCAATTTGATGCAGCTCTTGTTCAAGCACATCACCATCATCATCGTGTTACACACATGAGTCGTTCAATTGCTCAACAGTGTTAAATAAAAATTTTAATTACTTAGACAATAGAATACATTGCCAGGGCATTAGCACTCATTTTACCTTATTCATTTTATGATGACTATGGGTAAAGAAAAAAAAAAAAATTGATTTTGTCATTAAAAGAAAAAATTTCTCATTACCATTCCTATTTCTTCGCTCTCTCCTCTTCGCTCCAGCTTTCCACTTGAATACGATATCAGTTATTTAATAACTATCTGTTTGAAATAATTAGGATCTTGTCGCAAAACTTTTCAATTCACGCACTCAAGCAAGAAAATCTCTGAAATCATATCCACTAGAGCTTCATAGGCAGACAAGCTTTTAAAATTCATCAAACTGTACGGACCAAATTTGCCCAAGAGTGTAAAATTAAATTCGAATTTATCGAGCAAAGGTCCTTACCATATCCGTTGATAGAGCTCAGTAAAAAGTTCTCGCAGAAAGATTAGGATCTTGTAGCAAAACTTTTTAATTCACGCACTCAAGCAAGAACATCTCTTAAATCGTATCATACGCAGAGCTTCATACGCAGATAAGCTTTTGAATTCACCAAACTATATGGACTACATTCGCCCAAGGGTGTGAAGACTAATTCGAATTTATCTAGCAAAGATCCTTACCATATTTCTTGATAGAGCTCAGTAAAGAGTCCTCTGTTACATATTTCGAATTAAGATATGATTCGGATTTGGTGGCGTACAATGTCCGACATGACAGCGTCATGTTGCCAAAAATATATTTTCCAAAATAAATGTCTTTTTCAAATGAAAAAATGATCAAAATTTTTGCAACCTCCTAATAAATTAACAGCGAAGAACTAAAACTCATCGTCACTTATAAGTCTTGTTCACTCCCATAGCTAAAGTTTGCATATAGGTGCAAAAAGCTCTTTCTGAATCCACATATATAATACCAATGCAATTAGGGCACATGGTAAATATTAAAAATTTCGATATTCTATTACTGCATTAAAAATCATGAAATAATGGGTGTCGGAAGTCCGTTATAGATCGAATATAAATTTTTTAATTCGTATTTCTGGTAAATATTTCCAGATAATAACTTCTAATGAGATTTTTTTTTTTAGACATTTCTCGAAATATCGAAATATCTTATTTTGCAGGATGAAATTTTTCTCTTCTTTCTTCAATCTCTTCCAGCGGGAAGAGAATCTATTTATTTTTAATTTTCATACGGTTTCCTAAATGAATTCAGACGATTTTCTACTGCAACTATCCTTACGAAGGATTTCCAAGAAATTCCTTAACTGGCCGAGAGCTTAAATGATTCAAAGTCTCTCCGTTCCGTGAGCATTATTTTTACGGGGGAAAGAATTGAGTACAAGAAAAACTAACAATCGATATGAAATATTCTAAAAATTCTTATAGTCTCTCTAACGGAATATTTTTTAAATTTAAGAAAAAATCCTAATGAGCAGAAAATAAATGCTCGTTTTCGGTGATGGTTCAAAGGGACATAGAGAGGGACATAGAGAGAGCTAACGTTGCTTAAGAATATATCCTGTATATCTTCTATATATAGAATCGCATACCAATTTCAAGTGTTGATGTTGATGAGTATAAATAAAAGAATAAATATAATCCGACTCAGAATGAAAACAGACTTGGCATTGTTTATTTTAAAGATGTGCGCTGCTAACAAGCAAAAAAAAAAAAGAAGCATTTTTATGAAATTTTAAGCTCTTAAGCGTGAACGTGATTTACATAAGTAATAAGTCATATAAAGAAAGTCATTATTCCCTGAAATTGTTCTTCTTTTATCGCTACATATAAAAACGTTTCAAATTCAAGAATTTTTCTTTTCTCATAAAAACTGACATAACTCTACAAGGTATAAATAGAAATTCAATGTCATTTGACATTTTAGTTTCATTTTAGAATTTTAAAGCTTAATAAAAATTGTTACCTTCAACCGAATCAAGTCTGAAAGAGAAAATAAAAGAAAAATAGAATTTTTTTTTAAGAAAAATATGAAGATTTTTCAAATTTTTATATATTTATGTATATGCTGGAATGTTGGTTTCGTCTACGGTGCCAGGAAGGGTCAATCGACAGGTCGAACGTATGCAGATATAGCAAAAATAATAAATCCAGATCAATATGCGCATGTTAAACAGAGACCGTATCCATTTCAACCATTCTGGCCAATTGGGTTAATGGGTTAATAATGCTCTGACGTTACAATTTGATGGACGTGTGATATATTATTACTATTTGTATTTATTTATAAGTTATGATTTTATTTAAAATAATTATTCATTTCTTTTTTTTTGTTTTTTTTTTTTTTTTTTTTTTGTTATGATTATCAAGACGCTATGCAAATTTATGCATTTTCAATAAACATGTGATAGGAATTTAACTTTTTGTTTTTTTTTTCCTTTCAACAAACCTTCTGCTATTGCGCTAGAAGCTAAGATTGGCTAGCGTCTTATACAGAGGGGGTGGATGGGAGTTTATTTCAACTCTAGAATGGAATTTGAATTGTTTTACAATGCTTTTTGGAATCCAGAGCAATTAACGATGTGAGTCATGCTTTCAAAGAAACGGGCGATGTAAATGTCTTCTTCATTCCCAAATTCCCGAAAAACATTTCGTATTCTGCAAAGCGGAAAATATGTATTCTTTTCCATAGTAGGAAGGGCAGTTTTGTTGCATTTTCAATAGTTTATTTGAAAAAAAAAAAATGGATTTGCTTTTTACTTTTTTAAGCAAAAGTTTGCAGTAATATGTAACAAATGTAATAAAATATAAAATATAAAATTTTTAACCTATCCTAAGTATTGAATTGAAAATCCAATAGCCACACTTCTGGTAGAGTCGTAAGAAAATTGCATTTGTAAAATAATCCTATAAGGCGACATACTAAATGGGGTATATCCTCCAAGTTCGGCACAGGATTTTCTTTTAAGATTCCAATACTCTGAACAATTAGGGGCTTGACTTCGATAAATTTCTTATTCGCTAATAACATGGATAGCTCACGTAAACTGGAATGATATTCATCATTTGCTTTACGCAATAAACTCTTGGAAGAACCACTGGAAAAAAGAAATTTCATTTTACTTGTATATATATATATTATATAAAATTAAATAAAACCGCAAACGTACCTTTGCAAAGGAAACAAGGCAAATATAACGATAGCCAGGCAACGAGTCAAAACTTTACGTCTATAAAGTTATAAAACACATTGATATTTTCAGATATTAAATTCGAATTTAAAAGATTCATACTTTGTTGTTATAACTTCTTTTTTAAGGCCGACGGCGCCCAATAAACTATCACCCCAGCTTTCGGCTTGTGTCGATATAATTTGCAAATGCTTTGCCAGCATATATAAGGATTTTTTCACATTTTGTGGTTCTTTCAAAATTATCTTACAACCCCACGATATCATTGCACCCCATACGATGGCCCTGGCAGGTTCCGAATCGGGTCTAAAATATAATTTTTTTTTGGTTTTTTTTAAATTTATTTTATATATTTTTAATTTACTCTGTCTTTAGATTCTCGATTAGTTGACTTAGATCTTGCAGGAAAGTAATTTGAGCACCAACGTTAGGCAGTTTTTCCATTTTATGCAAAATAAATATATGTAAGACGAAAAAACATGAATTATGCATAATAGGCATAAGTTCAAGTTTATCCAATGTCATGCTTAAAATCTTTAAAAGATTTAACCACGTCGGTATATGCCATTCGAGACTTTCTTCTGATGAACGAAAATAATAACCAATAGAGCATTCTAGCAAGCTGTATATGCCCGATATAAAAGCTTTCATATGTCCGACAGCATTTAATATGCTCAACATTAAAACATTGCCGGGTGATGTAGAGCTTTCCATCCACATTCTCATACATTCAATATGTAAACTTTAATGTTATAGCGGATTTAAATTAAAATTTAAATTAATTTTTAACTTTTATATTTAATAAAACAAAAAAACAAAAAAAAAAACTCTTACTTTGATGTCTCTTCGCTTTGAGTTTGCATGGGTAATACAATTTCCAACATTAGATTGCCAGCATGACGTTTTATTTCTTCCGGGCTTTTCCCCGCTGCGTGAACAATAGCCATCTCTTCTAAGGTTCGAAGTAAATCATCAAACGCAGCTATGAAAATTTTCCGTCCATTTTTACTGGTTAACAATTTTGGATTTTTGGCTACGCAGGCTCGTTGTAAACATATCATAGAGCGGGTATATAAAATACGTTTAGCCATCGCATGCGTTAATTGTTCAGTTTGGTTATCTTGCGACTTCATTATACAACTTTCACGCAATAATCTAAAATTACACATATATAACACTGTTAGTGAGTTTCGTTTCTTTTTTCTTTTTTTTTTTTTTTTTTCTATTATTGAAATTCACACAACTTACTCTAATACCGCTCGATCAACATAATTTGATTCTTCAGGTATTTTTAAAATGATAGTTGGTTCAACGGTCTGTACGCACCACTTTAGCAGGTTTTCAAATTCAGCAAAGTCCACCATATGCCAGGGATAATTGACGGCATCTTCTAAAATCTTACTAGTATTCACATGCATATGTATATTCGGTTCAAATGCAATTTTTACAAATATCGTTAATAAACGCGATATAGTCGAGATTTTCAATGTTGCTGGGATCGTAGGAAAGGTATCAGCAAACCAATTTACCCAATTAATTCGGATGAAAATATGTCCTAACATGGCGTGGCAATCAGGAATAAACTGCGATTTTTTTTTTTTTTAGAAAAAGATTTGAAAAAATTATTTCTCATAATTCCACAATAAATAAAAAGAGAGACGGAGGGGGAGAGAGCGGGAGAGGGAGAGAGAGAGAGAGAGAGAGAGAGAGAAGGGTTTCTTTCACATTTTTTACTTAAATGTTTTAATCTTACAAACTTTTTTTTTTTTTTTTATTCATAAATTTAAAACAATGAGTTCCAATTATGGACATATTACATAAGAATGGATGCACTATATTTTGCAGAAAGTACCAGTAAATGAATAAAAAAAATATGAAAAAAATGAAAAAAAAAAATATCAGAAAAAACTAAGATGGCTTCTGCATTACTTTGACTTGGACTTTGACCGCGTTCTCATTGTTAGCCATTGATTTTCTCATTTAATCTTCTTACCTTTTGTACGCAGTTATAAAACATTTCTATATTATCCACATGAGGTGTGAAATGCTCCCATGATAGTTGCGCAATACCCTCATGTATAGGCTCATAAATATAATTTTCAATACGAGTGACGGCAAAATGATGTATATACCATCCAAATGTATGAGACAAAATTTGATTTGAAACTATTAAAGAAATTTGATGATCATTTAAAATATTATTTCGAACAAAAGATTTTATATATAATTATTTTACTTGGTAAATTTTCCAAAATGAAAATTAAAGTATTAATGAATGGCGTCACAATAATTTTACTAGTTTTCGCATGCTGTTTGCTCCAGGGAAATAATATTTTCCCATGGCCAGTATCGGCCAATTGACGTATCCAATTTGAAGTTTGATATGGCATCGTTTGTTCAGTGTAAGTGATAAGCCACGGTGCATACATTTCAATTATCGAACCGAAAACTATATCACAAACTAAAAAAAAAAAATGCGAAAACATTTTTAATAAAAAAAATTCTTTTCCCCCAAAAGCATTATATATTTATTTATACTTTGATCGGCTAGTAATTCCTGATACGTGCAAATAGCTTTTATTACGACGGAATGACCGAAACAGCTAAACCACATAGCTATGACCGTACAATAATTTTGATGTTTCGGATATAAGCCATGAAGACCGTGATGTAATCGCTCTTTCTCAAAGTGACGAGCAAATAATAATATCGTATCGGTAATTGCTTTTAAATTGAAAAGATTTTGCTGTCTGGCAAATTGTGCCGATACACCCTGCACTTTATGACTGGAACAAGTTAATTGTAATTGTTCACAATTACAATTCAATAGCAATGAATTTAAAAGATCCAAAAATACGTCAGGCAAAAGTCTTTGCTCAGAAATATGATCTAAAACCAATTGCATAACTTCACCGTAATGCTCGGGGAAATCGTAATTAAATATATGAACTAAATGCCGTCTAAATTGATCTTGTAAAATATTAGAGCCAGGTTGTGACCATGATTCTAAACCTTGTAAAATCAATTGTAATAACTGGCTTATATCATGTAGCTTTGGACGATAATCTTCAAACCATGAAATTAAATCGAACTGAAAATTAACGAATAAGAAGAAGAAGAATAGAAAAAAAAATTATTATTGTTTAAGTGGGAAAAAGAATACTGCCATGTTTAGGAAAATTTACCTTCGAGAATAATACAAACAAAGTATTCGGATCGCATTGTCTAAGATGCGAATCAATTAGATATTTGTACATATTTATAAAGAATGTGGGTCGGGTCCGGCATGGTACCAATGCGACAGATAATTGCTTTAAAAGATCCGTACGTTTTATTGATAATTCCAAAATAGTTAATCCTTGTTTTTCTTGATTCTCTTGTATCAAAATCTATTTGGTCGAGCAGAAGTAATAAAAAATATAAATAAATAAATAAATAAATAAATAAATACAAACTTACCGCTAAATCAGTTAATAGTTCGCTATAAAATTTATTTGTAGCGTTAAAATTTATGGTCATCTCGTTCATATTATCAACGATATAATAATAAAATTTTATACCCGTTTCATTCTTTAGTTCAGCTAAAGCAGAATCAGACTTTGTCTCTTCGCATTCTTGACGCATTAGTAAAAGTCTTTAAAGATTAGTAAAATAATAGTAGATTAGAAATGATAAATTTGATCTAATTATTCTTACATATATTCTATATCTCACCTTATAGTTTGTCCAATCTGAACGACATGTTGAGCAAATTTATCAACATTTTCATTTAACATTTCATTAATAATTGTCTCGTGACGTCTACGACAATTATCAACATTTTGTTGCACTCGTTCGTCTTTATGTATGCGTTGCAATTGTGTGATTATTCTGGCAGGCTTACGACATTTGTGATTATATACCCAATAATTGCAATTTTTAACTTTCATCTCTTCATAGGTTATCATTTTATAAAGTCGTATAATTTCTTCCATATAACTGCGACTAATAGCACTTAGTTCGGAAGTTTTGATATAAAATTTTCTATTAAATGAAATGTTTATATGACATTAATGCATGGAAGCATCTTTACAAGGTCGAATAATGAAGAAATTAAAATTTATTAAAAGAATTTCAATTTGTTTCTCTTTTACTATTTTCTATTCATGTTTATAGTTGAAATTTCCGATTGGATTGCTAGCAAAGAAAAAAAGAAATCGAAAACAAAGGCAAAATTCTAAACGATTTGAGGGGAAAATTTTGACAGTTTCTTATTTTAAACCCACACTCACACACACACACACATAATTCGCTATCGAAATTCCGACAGCCAGGAATTTTTATGATCCGGTGGTATTTCGTATCAAATTCACATGTAAAAAATAATAGCCGAAAAGATTCGCTATACGTGACATTTAATAATATTTTGAATAAATGGAAGGAGAGAGAATATTATCGAAGCATTTCTTTCTTTCATTTCCGAATAGAAAAGAATGCTTTATATTCTATATTCGCTAAAAAAAGCGATCGTAATGTTAGTTCTTCCGCCGCTATGTGCGGTTATTTATCAATAATGCGTTGAATTAATTTCGGTCGATATTTGATGATTTTTCAACTAATCAGCTATACGGAGATATTTCAAGAATTTTTTTCAAAAATCTTATATAGATAATACGCCATCCAATTAAAAACAAAAAAAATTATTCCTTTTGATCTAATCAGGATGACATTAATATTAATTGAAAAGAATTACTTACCTGGCTGTGGCAGTTAATATTTTCAATTTATCTTTGAGCTCATTTAAAGTTGACTTAGTCAATTCATTTGGTAAATTTAATTGGGGTTTCACGTATATTGGCGGCGGTAAATATCGATCATATGAACATAAATGCGTTTTTATACGTTCCATAGGCGTTGGTTTTATTTTCGAAACTATGGGTGTACGTGTGGATCTAATTAATTTTGAGCGAAAACATCTATGTGCCCATTGATCAGCCTGTTGACGTTGTTCTTTGCGTATAGCTGGCAGATATAAAAACTCCGTCCAGTGACTCTAAATAAATATATAAAATAGCTTATTAAAATAAATCTAAAGAAAAAAAAGTCAATACTTACTTTATTGCCATTGAAAATTTCCCTCAATTTTTCTTTATTTAATGGGGTTGGAATGCGGATGGAAGGATCTTGATCTTTAGACATTTTATTAACCGTTTTAGTAGAATCTACTAACCATAAACAGTATGTATGCATAATCCTATAAATGAGTAAATAACATAAGATGCTCTTAACACGAATATTCGTGGGAATGTCTTAGAACTATTTGGATCTATGTTAATTTTACTTGCAAAAGATTAGTATAACATATGCTCTATAAATGTTTAATATAAATTATTACCTAATCAACAAAAGCACATTGAGAATTTCGGATTTTTCTCTTTTATGAGTTTTGTGGGCTTGTGAGTAATGAATAAGTGAGCGATTTATGGGCAATTTTTAAAACTTGATATATACAATTTAATATACAATATATAGATAATGGTTATCTTAACACTGGCGAGTCTGGGAATTTCAACAAAAAGACATAGACAGATCGTAGCGAATCAATGTAATTCAGTTTTAAATATTATAATGAAATTAGTACCTTTCAAAGAGAGTTTAAAAAAAATTTCTACAAAAAACTATTTAATTACTTCGCACAACTTGTACAGTAGAAAACAAAACCGTCGTCTCTATGTTTTGTAGCTTCTGTTTCATAAAACTTTTCAGCGGCTTCCAAATTATTTTTAAGTTTTTTCATTAACGACACATTAAAGTCATAGAATTTATCAGCTATTCCGTGAGTTTGCTGAAAACTGTAACAAAATATATTTAAATCTTATAAACAGAATGCAACAATTAAATCCAAACTAACCTATGCTCGTCATAATGTGTAGGTACTCGAGATAAATACAATTCGAAAAATTTCTGATTAATTATGGGATATAAGGCATGTTTAACATCCATACCGGCCAATAGATTAGCATACTTATATAAACATAATGTTTGCGCTGAATATGTGGGTCTTTTTGCGATATTTAAAGTTTTCTAAAAAAGAAGAAAAAAAAAAATATATATATATACATATATATATGTATATATATATAATTTAAATTCAAATCCATGCTTTTTTTTTTAAATTCAGTTAATTTACCTTTAAAACCGCGTCGAGATTAGGCTTAGTTCCAGCTGCAAATATTTGCCTTAAAAATTCATCCCAGATATGGGAATCGTGCGTACGAAACTCAATTTCCAACAAAACTAAAGCCAACCAAGGCAGATCTGGTGATAAAAGGGGCAATTTCGAGTTGTTACTACTAAAAAAACCCTTCAATCCTCTATTAGCGCCTTTCCAGTCTGTCCAATCCTTGTAGTAATTACTAAAATATTCTATTGTCTGATTATAAGCATCGGGAAATTGATATGCTATACGTAAAATTTTATCCAATAGATAAACCACATAAGTGTTTTGCCAATTAGGCAAAGACGTTAAACAATGAAGCCACAAATTTATTAGATTTAAGGGAGTGGAAAGGCCATAGCTTGTGAGAAAAACAAAACAAAAAAACAAAAAAAAGAAAAAGAATAAAACAAAAGGTAATTGCTTTTTAGATTCACTTCACTTACTTCATATAGGAAGTTATCTGATGATGAATCATATTGTCTAGTAATTCCAAAACTGGCCCAACACTATTAGGATATATCACGTCTTTCGTCATTTTTATATAGGTCCTATCCGCGTTCAATAAAGTGTTTAAAATTTTCTGAAAACTAAAATAAAAATTGAGAACAATGAAATTCGAAAATATATATAAAATATATATAAATGATATACGATATTATAATTCATCATCTTGATTAAAGATCTAAGTGATTTATTGTTTATTTATATGCATAATTAACGGTTTTTACCTCTCTGCATTTGCCAGTATATCTGGAACTTCTAAGAATAATGGCGTTATCAACTCCAAGCATCTAATAACTGCAGTATATCGTTGATCGCTGAGGAGACGTTGCATAAGATCAAAACCCTTTTGACATATTAATGGTACGAAATGACCATGCAAAGATACTAAGATGGCCACATATATAGCCAAAGGTCGATTTTCATTAACACCTTGACATATTAAATCAATACGTTCCAAGTCAAGTATAAACGTTAAATATTCGTTGGGATCTTGTAGAACTTTCTTAATCGTTTCATAATTTTGATCCATTATATGTAAACGTAGCATTGAGGCAATACTCCAGCACCAAGTACTAAATTGTTCCTTTGTAGGTTTTGAGAAATCAATAATACTAGACATTTGACGTACACTTTCCGATATGCCCGAAATTCCAACTACTTCGGGGGCATGTTCAGTTAAAGCTTCGCTAATCAGACAGGCCATGCGCACATGTATATTGTGAGGTAAAAATAGTTGATCATCACTATCAAAACCCCAATTTAGATGACTTATTATAATGCGAGCTAAAAGATTTTCCGAAGATTTATGATCAAAATGTAGCAACCAATTTGAAAGAATTTCAAAACAATCTAAACTGGGTTTCCATGTTTCCAAAGGCAACGATTTATACAAATAGATAACATTTTCGGTATCTTGATAATAAACTTTTAACTGCGTTAATAAATACGACATTAAATCTTCATAACAGAGACAAAGATTAACTAACATATCACGGGCTGACTTATAGCAACCATCACGTGTCTCACGATTAATGAAACCAATCTAAAACAAGTGCAGAAAATAAATAAAAAAAAATAAAAAAAACATTAAATAATGATAAGAAATAGAAATAAATTTTTCTTACTCGAAATATATGAAAGAAAATAATTTTAATTAAATCCCAATCCTTAACTCTATCGCGATCGTTAGCCATTTCGAAAAATGCTTGCAGCAAATAATATAAATCCTCATCTGAAGAATCAGCATTGGCTACATTAAACTTTGACCAGATATCCGATGAAGTTACCAACGCCATATAGTCTGAAAATGTGTGCAAAAGCGTAAACAATTAACTACTTAAAGTGTTAACACTTACCGTCCTCAGGTTTTGTAAAGTCATCAGGAAATCCCACATTTAAGTAATAGAAAATTTGCCAAATTGTGTCGCTATCCATGTTAGTGAATGGCAAAGATGAAAAATATTGCCATGTCGATAAATTCCGTGTACGATATATATATGAACAGGCTTTTAATAGCAAGACATTATACTCTAAAGCTAGTCTCTCCAAAAGCTTTGCATCCTTCCATAAATTATTGTTTCTACAACTGAACCTATTAGTACTTAGCAAATTGCAAGGAATTAAAACAATACTTACCTGAAGAGCTCATGGTAATCCGAAATATATTGCAAAGAGTGCCGCATCAAACGGCCCAAACGTTTCGCCAATTGTTTATAACGTTCGGTATTATAAGTAAGCATACCTTCGCCAAATAAATCAACAAGCTGATTAAAAAAGGCAAAAATTCGTAATAAGTGATGCGAACTAATCAAATCGATTTGTATAATGTAATCGTTCAGGAATTTTTGTATCATTAAAACTGATCTGTAAGAAAAACAAAAACAATAGAAGAAAACAAACAAGAAAGCGACTTAAGTTAAACTATTATTCAACCTCTCCACCACGTAATGCTTTTTATTACTATATATCACAGCTAGTATGGCGAAGCATCTCTCATAAGGACGTGAAATGTTCAAAGAGTAACATAACCCAAAGAAAATTAGATGTGATATACTAACGACCACATAGGCGACTTTTACTGTATCCAACAGGAGGTTTATTAGACTCTGGCAATATTTAAAGTATAAATATTCTCTCCCTTCGGAGTGTTACATTAACTCAATATATCCTGTACCTGTAATGTATAGGGTATAAATATACATCAAAGAGAGCCCATAGACCAAATGGCGAAGTACGTGTTCCAACCCACCTATTAAAACTACGTCCACGACGTCAAAATTTTCTTAAGAAAAACAAACTTTGTCCCAAACTTTTTACCGTCACATCCTAGTCAGCTAATAAGTTCAATAGTTTCTCCCTACTATCCATTCCATATCCAAATATTACTTTTTTTTTTTTAAGTTCTAATTTCAAGATTGTTGGGTCTTTCAAGTGAGGCGTTAAATTACTTCTTAAAGCGAAGTTTAAAAATTAGGTAAACCGGATGGAAGACTTGATAAGAATATTTAAAAAACTTCTAGATCCAGGAGTAGGTAAATATAGTCTTTAGTCTGCACACTCACCCATGGAACAAAAATAGAATTCGATATATTTAGTATATATTGCATCATGGACATAAGACGAAAGGAAAAATGTTCCTTTTCAATTTATTTTAATAATGTTTCTGAATTTCAAGGCAATATATTACGCTGGCGATGATTGCATTGAACAAATAAACAAACAGATGCAAACATCTTACCGTCTATCATATGCTAGTAATATTGGTGGCAAAATCTAGTGCATTACGAAGTTTACGATTCTTAACTGTAAAAGCCTATGGTGGCTATTGAAAATAAATAGTCTAATAGTTACCTGAACAGCTCTTCAAACGGTATTTGATTTAACAGAGCTATTAAGTCGTTTTCTCTTAAACCGACACATTCTCCCGCCGATGTATGCTCGTCCTCGCCATCGGAATCGATTAATATCCAACGTTCCTCCTGAATAGGATCAGTTACTTCCTTTTGAGACTTTAAGTTATTAATGAAATAGGAATCTAAAAAAAAAAAAGGTCTAAATCACTTGAAACATTTCCTTTTCTTACCTGCGTAAATTGCTTTAAGTAATCGTTCCGTCTTTTAACAGGTGTTAATAGGATTTTTAAAATCGACAAGCATAAGCTGATCTCGGCAGAATCAATAGATAACGGTAATTCATATGCACTATCGAAAGGTTTTTTACTATTTTCGAAGAGACATGGTACCTGTAGAAATTCGCAGGCCCAAGCACCTACACCACTTGGACATCTCAGTATATTGAATATTAAAAACCAATAATCTTCTTTAGTTGCCAAATGCAAATGTATCGATACTAATTTTCTTATCCAAAGGATTAAGTTATCAGAGAAATTCTATCGAAAAAAAAAAATAAAAAATAAAAATGAACTCTTTTTCATCTTAAAATAAAGCCAACTTACCTTATTGGGTGACAATTTCCTAGCAAAATGGAACAGTATCGACAAAGCTCTACGAACTTTAGCTAGGCATTGTAAGCTATCATTGTCTAATAATGGCTGCAGTTTCAGGGGACCCATTAAATTATCATTAGTATCCAAAGGGAAACTGATGATTTCATCGATCATTTGATCAATCTAACGGTTATATACAATTTGAAAGAATAAGATCACATAAGTTATTCGTAGATCTTAAGTACCCACTACATGAATTGAATATAGTTTTATATACCAAAAAAGGTTTATCGTAACGTGCTTTTAAAGAGATTATATTCTAACAATCTTTTCAATTCATAAATGTATTATTATTTTATTTTAAGGAACAAACGCATCTCTCCTAAATTATTCAAATCTAAATAATTTTTAAAATTCATTACAATCTTTTCGGTTTCACGTAAATCTTTATTGTGAGGAAGAAACTTTCTTTTTTTTTCTCAATAAGTTGGGACCAATTTATTTACATACATATTAATACATGGATAAGATTATCAGAATGTCTCCGAAAGATGATTTTACCAAGACAGCACAGCATCCTATTTAGGAGTTAAAAAACCTTTACTGTTTGAAAATATTAAAGAAACCTTTCTCTTTAATTTGTTAGGAATTGCTGCAAGGTCGTGTGTATTGCGGGATGAGGATTCATCAAGCCATAATTTAAGTAACGTTTTTCTTGGTATGACACAGAAATAGCGAAAATTACAATAACTATTATATATGGACTATACAAAATGGACATAACTGAAAATAACGTAAGAGAAAAACCACCGAGTCTGCCGGTGAATGCAAAAGAAAAAGGTAATTGGAAATATACCTAATCAAACATTAAAGTCTACTCAAATGCAAAAAACCTCATTTAATCGAATACCATGTGTGCGTTCTCGCTTCCACTTTTTTAAAAGTTAACAATTCTAACTAAATGCGAGATCAGCAATATGACAGAATTATTATACACATAATCTTGGGTATGTTTTAATGCCTTTTCTTTAATATGCTTTTCGTTATCTTGCCTTCAATTTCGTTATCTTGGCGGTTATCAGGTTCGTCGTATATGTATCCGATATTATATCAAATAAAACTGTCAATGCTGCCGTGGCTGCTTTCAAATTTTTATCATTTACTTTAATTATCCTGAGAAAAAAAAAACAAAACTTTTAATAATATGATTGCTTTTATCATTAACTATATCGCACTTACTCGTATGTAACAGACTCCTTAAGTTCAATGTTATCATCACATTTGGCTGAAAACGTTTCTGTTACTGATTCTTTTAACCATATGTGGTTTTGAGCTTCTGTCGCTTCTTCGCGAAACTTATTTACGTCATGTATATTCATGGTTAATTTACTTTGCAATTGATAATAAGTTTTCAAAGCAACATGTAATGGATCCGATTCATAGGTTTCTCGCAAAGAATTGTTTAGAAATTCAATTTCGAATTGTTGCACTTGTTGCAATTCAGCGCAGTAATACAGTTCTCGTAATTGCTCGCAATTAAATGGTTGCAATTCGCTTAACGCTAATCGAAATCCGGGGCTACGAACTTTAGGTTGCTTATAAACCACCTCACTGACAGGTGTTTCCTCATGCTGTTGCAATGGTAATAAATTGGGATATTGCGTTACGGTGACTGCGGGAATTGGCTCGTACGATTCCACTGGTAATGGCGCCGATGGTAAAGGATTTTCTATTGATCCTTGCCCACTTTTCAATTGAGCGTTGTCATGTCCCTTTTTAGATGATATGGTTTCCAATGAAACCTGAACAGAATCTTCTTTGTTCTCATACTCATCTTGTCGTTGATCTTGGTTTTTGCAAGCGGTAATTGTAAAACATTCTTGAATTTCAGTCGAGGATTTAGCCGCACCGTTTAATTCCACAAAATCGTCTAATTCCTCTGCCAAAGTTTCATTTGTCTGCATTTGTTGAGCGACGCAATTTTCAGTGGTTTCATTGACATCTCTAAAATTGCCTTTCGCATCGTGGTATCCAACTATTTTCGTTTTCTTTGTTTTCTAAACAAAATTTTTATTTTAATAAACGCACTTAACAAAAAGTTTATTCTTTAACCTACTTTAGTTTTGGACTTCTCTATTGTCGCCATTTTAATGCTTTACTTATTTTTTTCTTGTATCATTGATAAAAATTTACCCATTAATGCCCTTTGTAATTGTATTTTGTTTTGTTTTGTTTTTTTTTTCAATTCCTTTTTATTAAATATATGAAAACCCCCGATTTGTTTGATTAAGAACAGAGAAAATACGATATTGCCAGGTTACGAATTTTCGAGGAATGGGAGGAATTTTCACATATGGATAAGGTAGTCCTTGTTCTTTTTCAAATGCAGTCATTGAAGTATTGAGTGAAGTTCTCGAATCGGCAAAGTCGCAAAAATGAAGACAGGTCGCTGGTCGATGATAAATTAAAATTACAAAGTTATGTCTGTGAAAAGATCAGGCCCATAAAGTGAAAAGACATAAAACAAACTACGTTATAGACGTGTATATAAGAATATAAACAAGTCACGCCCATATTCCTAATTGATCAGAGAATGTTTGCAACCATTACAATTCACAAAGTTACCGGTCGAGGTAGATATTTACCCGGCATCCGGCAATATAGCATTAAACATATTCTTTCGAGAAGTTGGCAGTCCTTGAATGTTTTTTAAGAAGCAAACAAACTCGAGACACTCTAACAGCTGTTTGTTGTGATTCGTTGAATAGCAAAAAAAAAAAGAAGACGACAAACCTACAATGTTTTCATAGAAACATAAACAACAATTTAATATAATTAAACAAATAGCAATAAAATATAGAGATGAAAATATTTAATTTGTATATATTTGATAAATTCGGTACGCTTATGTATTATGCTGAATGGAATCGCACCAAGAAGTCAGGATTAACTAAGGAAGAGGTATTTACCGCAGTAAAAATATTCATATTACCGAGAATTAAAGAAAAATATATTTTTAAATGCATATAGGAAGCTAAGCTGACTTACGGTATGCTGTCTTCAATTAAGTCGTTTGTTCGAATTATGTCACCGCATGATCCTAAGGAAGGTTTCTTGTATTACAAAACCAACAAATATGCTTTGCATTATTTAGAAACCCCTTCTGGCTTGAAGTGAGCTTAAGATAATTTTTATATTTATTTTCCAAACTTATTTTTTCAATGTTTCTTAAGATTCGTTTTAAATACGGACGTGAATGCTGTTAACGTACGAGAATTATTACAACAAATCTACAGTAAAGTATGGGTAGAATATGTGGTCAGGGATCCTTTGTGGTTTCCAGGAACGCCGGTCACGTCGGAACTATTTCAAAATAAATTAGATGAACTTGTTAAACAATCGCCCATATTTGGCATAAGAAATATATAATTTTTTATTTTAAGTACCAAAAGTAGTTTTTTTTTGGGTATGAATCTTGCCACCTAATCAGTTTTTTTTCTTTTTGAAAATATTGAAATTAGTACTAAAAAAAAATGAGTACTAAAAAGTGCAACCGTTTATGACGATCGAATTTTATTTCATTAGAGTTAGTAGCGGGACATGAATAAACGAAATGGCGCGGTTATTATTTATGGCAGGTGGTTTTAGTAAGTCTAATTGAAATTACCTATCACCGAAATTAATATTTATGTAAATCTTCTTTGAAAAAATGAAAAAAGTTCGTATTAGAGAGGTAATTAAATTAAATAAATAATTGACTTTCGTTCGATGTTAATTTACTATTATTTTTGACAAGTTTGTGTATCTGGATTTCTCGGCTTTTTTGGCGTTAGAAAATGGCGTGATATAAATATGAAGGCAGTTTTTTTTTTTTTTGGAAAATGGGCGTCGGTTCGATTAATAATTTGTATTTGGTGTTGTATTTAACAGACATTATTTTATCTCTCTATTTTAAATCAAGAAAACAAAACAAGTTTAAACAGGTAATAATTGCATTTTATATATTATTCTTATACATTAAATTCGGGCATATGATAGACTTTCGTCGTCTTTTTGGCTAAAGAGTAGTTTCAACATATGAGTATGAATGTTTTAGAAATTAGGGATCCTGGATATTTGGAACTCCAAGAATGTGATATTAAACTATATTAAGAACATTATAGTCTGATTTGATTTTTGATCAAATTTTGTTTGTTTAAATTCAATTCTTGGAGAGGAGGAATGGGCTGGGTAGGGCAGTTTAACAAAAAATGCTTATATACATAATTACAAAGTAAAGTTTCGAACAAGGTTTGGTTGCTTGTTCGTAGAGTAAGATTAGTCTTTTTTTTAACGAAGAGAATGGGTTGATAGATCTTGGGAATATGATATTTATGCACTTTTTTTCTAAAACATTTGTAAAGTACATTTTAAGAAAGCTAAGGGAGCTGCTATTGCTTTAAGCTCTAGTTGTAAACATATGGTAAAGTAAAGCAAGTTGGTCTGGCGGCGTAGATTTTTATGATGAAATTTTTGTCTCCCTGCAGAGAATGGCTAATTTGGGGCAATATCTTGTAAAAATTGTAACATTTCGAGAGTAAAAAATGCATAAAAAAAAAATTTTGAAAAACTAGTGGGATGCGCAAAGAAGATTTTTAAACACATACATGTTTTTATTAAAAATGATTTTCATTACAATTTTTTTCCACAATTTTCAAGAAATTTGTAATGTTTTCCATATCTGCGCCAAGTGTGTCAAGTCTTCTTTATAAATCCAGATTTATATACACTACATTGCTTTTTTTCATTTTTTTTTCACAAATTTAAACAAAATAATTCATAAAGTTCGCATTACTTTTTTTTACTATTTGTGAGCTGATTTCTCTCAATTAAGAGCGACTTTTGTCATTTACTTAAATGAATATAAGTAAAATTAACTCAGATAATATTTATTTAAACAAGAGCAACATAACGAAGATTTTAAGATAACTCGAAATAGACTTTTTACGGATTCGATTTAATTAATTCAATGCGATAATTTATATTATTGTCAATATTTCATAAAACAGACACACACGCACCTCTTATATATAATAGAAACGAAGTATGAAAATGATCGATGCTGGATTATTTTGCCGCACAAAGAATCGACGGATACGACGGGCTCGTGGCGCTGATGGCATTATAGCATTAGTTGGTGTGGTCATTGTTGGCGTTACAGGTAAACGATTTCCTGTAGAAGTTTCCATATTTTCTGCTACCCTTAATTCTGCCCCGGATGCTTCCTCGTTTTCGTTATCATGTCGGTTTGATATCTCATTGTTCTTACGAGGTGTAGTGCAAATGTTCTTGTCAGTAGTTGCCTCATTCTTGCCCTCTGTATCAGCAAACCCACAAAAATCATCCAATTGTTCTGTCGAAGTTTGCTGCACGTGATTGCCAATGGATTCATTTAACGAATCTTCTGCCTTATCCTTTTGCTCCGTATCATCAAATCCACAAAAATCATCCAATTGGTCTTTTGAATTTTGCATTGTGTGATTGCCAATGGATTCATTTAAGACATCATTTTCATTTTCATCACTTGTTTTCTAAAAATTTCTATACACTAACACTTTTTAACAAATGAAATTCTTTTTCATCTTACCTGAGCTTGATTAAATGACGCCATCAAAATCCTTCACTTCTTTTTTAATCATCAATTGATAAAATTTGCTGCATGTGTTTTACAAAATGTTCCGTTAGTTGTCTTCAAAAATTGTTAATTGAAATAAAAGGTGTTGCCACGAATAAAAAAAAGGAGAGAAGATGTGTAGATAGGCGTAAATAACAAACCAGAGCATCAAATGAAAATGAAACAAAAGTAGAAATACCTTATCTAAAGCCATAAGGTTAGAAAATAGAAAAAAAAATAAAATAAATTAAATCAGAATAAAAAAGTTTTGGATATTGCGAGAATTGTAACTCACTATTGGTTCAAATCCATTATTAATTAAATGCTCAGCTTAAAATGATTACGTGAATGTGACGAATTTAGAGCGCTAGCTATAAAAAATATTCGACCGCAACTGTTATAACAGAATTGAATACTCAGACAAGGAGAGAGTGTATGTGGGAGAGAGAAAGAAAGAAAGAAAGAGAGAGAGTGTGTGTGTGAGAGAGAGAGGAGAAAGAGAGAGAGAGAGAGAGAGAGAGAGAGAGAGATTTTTCTTTGCTTGTGTTGCATTGTGTATTGTATTGTGCAGAAAAATTGATAATTGTTACAGTTTCGCCCAAGGCCACCCGCGTCCTGCTTTAGAGCCTGCGATTCAATATATGGGTGCTGCAATATTTTTTATCAATTTCATTTTGTCTCTACACATGTAAGCAGTCACTCCAAGCCGAGCTCGCACATTGTCGTAAACAAACTTTCTCTGCAAATCTATCGAAAATGAAAGAATACACAAATGTTTTGTTACGTTTTATGAGGCTATCAAAAACACGAGTTTGTTTTCACTGTTATTATATCTTATAAATTATTAAGTGCTTGAATAAATTTTGATCATTTTTCCATTTGAAAAACGCAATTATTGCGAAAAATTGGTAGAATATATAGTAATCAAAATAGTTTTCATCATTTTCTACAATATTTTTGGCAATATGGCGCTATCATGTCAGAAGAACTATATTGGTTTGGGGCGACCGAACCATTTTCTCACTTCTTCAACTGTGCTGACTCGCGTGCCAGTCAAACCATGCTGCAACGATCTAGGCAAGTGGTAATCAGGAGACGCCATGTCTTGTGAGCACGCTGAATAAGGCAGAAATTGCCATTCAAACTGCAACAGTGTATCCCGGACAAGTCTTTGCCACAAGTGTTCAAAAAAGAGCATTTTTAACCCGTTGAAACCAAAATCGATAATTAGGATAGGACGGACCAGGAACATCCATCACCGTAAGTCTCTGAACGAGTTTGGTAGGCTTCGGCAGCAGATTTCTTCAAATAGACAACAAAAGTACTGAATTTGGAAGAAGGAGAATTTTGAGCGCTCCATAATGATATTTTATATGTTGCCCTTGCTTTAAGACCATTTTCAACTTTGCTTTGCTGGAAATCTTGTGTGTTCAGGAATCAGTTTGTTCAGTTATGTCAGGTGTCTAAGGTGGTGTTTCCATAAAGTGCGGCAATCACGATCGCAATTTATAAGCTTTCTGCAATCATTCAAATTCAATTTATTTACCCATTTTCTCAAAATTTCCCTTAAATATATCTAAATATATATAGTATGTAGGATGGCATCCTATGAACTTATTGAGCGATGTGTTTGTTTCTTTCGCAAATAACAAAACGTTACAGTACGATGGTTCATGGCCTAATTTGTTCAGAGATCGAAAATGTAATTAAACAGGTTCAAATGTCTTTTGAACCAAAATGAAAGATTTTCTAACCACTAGGCTTGCAAGTGAAAGGAACCCGTGAAGAATACAAATTTATTCGGGCAGTTGAATAGTACCTGATTAATTATGAAACCATACTATATGGGAATACATTTTAGATTTTCTTGTTCTTCTGCTACCTCCTCCTTCTCTTATTTATGGTTTAATATTCCTAAGTGTAAGAAAAGCAACGTGTATATATATATATATATATATTTTAAATTATTACTTGTTTTTTTTTTTTTATTTAATTCGGAATTGATTATTATGTAATATTATGTTACATATACATTTGCCTAAGAAATTTTAGGGGTTAGGAGCACACTAGATCTACATGGTATCATTAAAATATGATCACAGTGTCTTTACATTTTAATTCTTTTTCTGTTCATTTTCGTTCTTATACTCGCATAGAATATAAATTAAAAATGACATTATTTAACTAAAAACTCTTAAAAATTAATGCAATTAATAATTACTACGTTTATGTTTGTTTAATAAAAATCACAAGTTGTTTTAGTCGATTCTTTTATTCTATACCTAAAAGTCATAACATATATCTATATATAAATTCTGCGCCTTTTAATAGGCGTATAACGTCACTTGCAGCATTAAAGTAAAGGACGTAAATAATTAAAAGCTAGTATTAACAGGTGGAGCATTGTTTTTCACTTGATTTAAATAATTTAACTTAATATTAATGTCATTATTATTATTGTCAACATTTTATATTAAGTAACTAAGGACTTATATTCAAGTATGTAAGTTGTGATGTGGTAACACGACTTATATATATATATATATGCTTTTCCTCAACTGTCAGCTGTATATATATATATATATATATATATATATATATCTCCATACATACATACATACGTGCATACATACATGCATATATATATATATATATACGTACATACATACATACATACATATATGTCTTTTTTTCGATTAACATCGTACATGACGCAAATATTTATATGCTACATATTGTTGTTATTGTTGTGTTGAAAGATAATCACAACGTTTCCTTTTCGGTCATTTGACGATATGTCCCACTTGGCATTGTTATTCTTGTTGTTGTTGTTGTCGTTGTTGGTGTTGTCGTTGTTGGTGTTGTTGTTGTATTTATATTTGATAGCCCGTTATGGTGTTGGTCTCTCTCATCATCACTAGTACATCTATTGAAAGCGTACGCTGAACGGCCATTAGTGAATTTCGTTGTTATTGGTGTGAAACTAACATCCATTGGATTTTTCGCTTTTTTTTTATCGTCACCATCTATAGTAGTAACGGTAGTGTTATTAGCAGCATCCGTAGCTGAAGCAGCAATTATTATATTGCCTTCATTTTGAGGCTCAAAAGCATGATTAATTTTGGCAGCAATGCCAATACCGTTGCTAGCGTTCTCAATGCCACCATTACTAGTACAACAATTACCACTGCCACGAGTAGTATTAGCGCCACTGCCAACACTATCGCAGGTGTATTCGACATCTTTCACATAATAAGGTTTTTTACCGGGAAAATGTTGATAGAGTTTAAACACAATTGGATGCAGCAATTTCGCATCGTACATGTCCTTGGGGTCTTGTGTCAAATAGCTGCCTATAATGCCAATAATCACTGTCAACGCTGTGCCTATAAGACTATAGTACATGTAGCTAATGGAATAAAAATACTGCAATGGCGTTCTATCGCGTTATACGAATATAACACAAAAGAAGATGAAAAAGAAAATCAAAAAAAAGGAAAGAAAAAAGAGAAGGGAAAAAAGTTTGAATGAAGCACAAGATATAAAGTAATTTATTAGAGACAACTTTGTCAACGACATTATCAACGTTATTGTTAACGTTATTATAAGGTTCGATTCACATCACGAAATAATAAAGTTCCGCATCAAAATTTTACACATCAGACAATCGAAAAAGTATTGAATCTTTTTTTTTTTTCAAACGATATAATGGCAATTTTGGAAGAGTTTTTCAAAAAAAGCAAAAAAAGCAAAAATTAAAAAAAATAATTACGGGTTAAGATGTCTTAACAAATAGCAAACCCTAGAAAGTTCAATTGTTTAAATTTTAGCATTTTTACATTTTATATATATGTCTATAAATATATTTCCGAAAATGTTATGATGTCGTGGGAAAATATCAAGTTCACGCCATTGTTAAGTGATTTTTGTCAATGAAGTTTCTGAATGAAGTCCAATACTTTTTAGACGATCCATTCTAAAGACTGTCCGTAAAGTAAACTTCTTGATCAAATCTTGAACGTCATATTATTGTCATCAGGAAAAATCAATTCGTCACGTCTCAGAGAAATAATTGAAAAAAAAAAAAAACAAAAAAAAATTTACTTTTCATTGCAGCGTGTCTAGGATTCGTCTTCTTTCACGTATGAAATAATAATCGTATTTATTGTTTAATTTTATTACCTCTCTGCTGTGGCCGCCGTTGGTACAAGTGCTGCAACTGACGAACTTAAAAGCCACGTATCATTTGCAATTTTTGCAAATTTACTGCTATTGGGATCATCCCATGATGTGAGTTTAGGCACAATTGAAAATTCGTTTGTTAAGGGTTTATGTATCGATTGTGAAAATGTGAAATTCGAGCAACCCTGTAACGAATGTAAATTTACAAATTTTCAGTTTGCTTTAAAGCCATTATTATCATGATGCTGCTTCGTCGGTTTTTTGATTTGGCCGACTCGGCCGGATATTATGCTTGAATCTACAAACCTCTGTGGACGTTGGAAGTAATTGAGTACGTGCGCTCTTGTCAATAGTTAAACCACCAGCAGTCATCCATACAACTATAGCACACGAAGATATCATGCCAATCGAAGTGCCCTATAAATATTTAGTAAATTTCGCAATGTAAGAGATTTAAAAAAAAAAAAATTATTTTCTCCTTAATAATAGTGGAAAAAATATTCAAAAAATTTCGCTATTAAAAGTTTGCATTAATTTAAAAGACTTCACTACTTCCTCCATCAAAGTGAATATACGAAATGTGAAAGGACTAATCTGTTAGCATTTTTATAAGAATCGCCGAAGAGACTATCCAGAGCGATGGATTGCAATGAATTGAATCCAGACCAACCGAATTCAGTTTAATGTTTCTAGCATTTCCTTGATGGGATCTTGCAATGGATAGTCAAACGTTTTCGTACTGAAAAATCACTCTATTGACTTATAGATCGGTTCAATAGTGTTTGTTGTTCTCACTAAAGTCCTCCATTGGCCCTCTCACCGTTGCCCACCCGGAATTTTCCGGTCAATCTTTCGAGTATATTCACTAAGCTGGGAGCTACAGATACTCGGCTTCACCGCTGTTTCAGTCATGATCGCCTCTGTGTTTTATTAGCCGAACAGCACTTTGAGGATAGGAAATGAAATCACAAACCCTATAAATTAATAAACACTAATCCCCACAATTCCCACGGTTTACACTACTTTAGCCCCGTTTCTTAATGGGCACAAATCATCAACAACATTTTCTCTCAGAACAGCTGAATAAGTTTTCCAATGGAAGGACGAATCGATCATACCTATACCTATAAATCGCCATAGTCGATGTAGCGATATTCCATTTGTGCATGACTTACCTTCCAATTGGCAATGGGTATCAGCATGGCCAAAATAAAGCAGCCCAACAAAGGCCCGGAAGTTGCTGAAAAAGTCAGCATTGAAGATTCGGTAACGCCTGATAGCAAACCCACACTGAATGCCACACCCATAACAATTAAACCAAAGACGGCCGTTACAGTTTTAATTACAACCAGTTGCTGCTTATCACTAAGACCTTTAAGTTGCGGGAGAAAAGATAAGAAGTCTTCCCATACAACTGTAGCCAAAGAATTTAAATTAGATACCATCATACTGTAAATATAATTATTATAAAAAAAAAAAAAAAAAAAAAAAAATCAAAGGACTTTAATGAGAAAAACTCCAATAAGAAACATTGGATTGCAAATACTCTGAAGCTTACCACAAAGCACCATTGAATAAAGTCGCCATAAAAATGCCTAAAAATCCTGGTATAAAAGCCAATTGATCTTCAACATAAAATGGTAAAATTTCATCAGGTTTCTGTATATAGCCCTCGGCTAAGGGATCACATTTCGCATAGGATGCATAAATGACCAAACCGCATAGCCAAGATAATGAGAAGAATACAAATATGACCGGAATATTTGATAGCATAGCACTGTTGTAATATAAAATTTCAAAAGAAGAAAAAAAAAAAAAAGCACAAATGCATTGCAAATTTTTAAGTTACCTCAACACCAATTCACCTACCGTTTAACTTCTGTCGTTGACTTTAAACTGACATAGCGTTGCATGAAATTTTGCTGGCAACCAAATTGAGATAAAGACATAAATAACTGGCCCAACCAAGCGGATGTTGTATCCACTCTTACTGTTAAATCACCGGTAAATGTAAAGAAACTAAAACGTCCTTTTAAGCAATGAAATGAAAAGAAAGAAGAAGAATAAAAAGTATTTATTAAGCAAAAAAGAAAGGAGGAGAAATCATTTTGCCAAGACGGAAGGAAACCCCCATTACCATCATACACACACACACACACATATATATATACATACACACACATACACACATACAGCTAAAATGGCTGGGTATAGAATTTCTCAAAATTTACTTCTCTGTAAATTTGTGTATAGATTAACACAGCTGCTTGTGTTTGTATAAAAACCACAAATCTTTTGTAAATTGATCTAAAACTATTTTTCGAATAAGAAAATTTATTTCAATTCAAGAAAAAATAATTATTATTTATTTTTAAATCCACCATTGAAAGATGTTGGTATAGTCATTCAGTGACCCTATAAGCGCAAAATTCTATATTAAATCATGTCTGTCCTTGTGTAAGGTGTTTGTTGTTCGTACTCGCCTGGTCGCAAAAAATTAAGATGTCGACTTCAAATTTAGTAGAGAGATGGGCAGTTTTTGCACGCAGATTGGTATTGGAAATGAGATCAGAGCAGAAGTGCGCAGTGCCGCCTGAACTAAACGCAACTCTGTTCTCCTTAACGAAAAATATATGGGTTTTTGGAAAAGTTTGAAGGATGAAATTTACTTTAAGATGCATTGTAACATTTATTTGGAAAGATGGAAAAAATCAGCCATGCCCATACAAAGTTACAAGTGATTAAAGATGATTTTTTCCTACTTTCTTGAGGTTTTATGCTTATTTATCATAAGGCAAACATGACAGAATGTTTAAAGTATTTTGTGCATTTCTCAAATGACGATAAATTATCTGCCTAAAAATGGTTTAATTCTAAAATTGTAAATAAAAAAAAACACCGCGACCTGATCTTTATTTCATATCATCGCATCATATAGAAAGGCCTGGAGAGTAGAGGGCGAAAAGCTAAGTATATTAGTTCCAAATTAAATGTCTCCGACGTCCCGACGTAGTATATTTAGCCTATCGTTACAATACCGATAAGATGGCTATTATATAAAAGGGCTTGGAGACTGGAAAGCGCGAAGGTTAAGTGTGTTAATTCTTTATTAATTGTAGTGGACGTTCTGATCATGATAGATTAATTTTTCTTAGCTATATACCTTTTAGCGAAGTAAAAGATGAAACGTAAATATTTTATCCTGTTCACTTTTCAGAATAGGAGGAGTGATCGAAACTGTGAACCGATCTGAACCATTTTCAACAGCGTTCGTCCTTGCGGCAAAACACGTCTCTGCACCAAATTGTATAATCTCAAGAAATATCTCAAGAACCTGTAATTTGAACACAAATTTACATGGACAGACATCAGACGGAGACAGATAACCTTAAATCAATTCAGATGACGATCCTGAATCGATCGGGTACATTTTACATCCTTTCCGTGTTACATACGTCCCTACTAACTTACTATACCCTCTACCGCAAGTAGTAGTGTTGGGTGAAAAAAGAGTAAACACGGAAGAATGAAAAAAAGGTGAACGTAAGCTGCGGCACTGTCAAAATCAATTTAAAAAATTGTATTTAAGGAAAATTTGTTTGAAAGGTTTCAAATTTAATGAACGAACAGTCATAGTTTTCAACCAATGATAGAAATACGAATTTATTTTTGTTAGCCGTCGTAGGTAACGAATGTTGACAATATATGATCCATACTTTCTTTTCATCTCGTGTTATATAAGACCGCACGTATGAATATTTCTAATTGTGAGTCCATTCGTCATTTTTATCTTGATATCTCTTCTCCAATGTATATAGAAAGGCTATGAGATTCCCGATGCTTGCTTAGGTGCCTGCTACTGATGGCAGTTTTAGTTTCAAGATTTTCAAAGCAATTCCCGAACTTTTAAATGAAAATATAGGAAATCCTCTGATGCTTACTATAAGTTAAGGTAGGAAGACTTGTTTTTTTTTTCTTTTTTTTTTTTTAAGATTAGTTGATTTATTTTAAAACAAATGCCGATCATTATGAATAGAGAGCTTAATCATTATTTGTTCCCTCAGTTCGTAAGAGGATTTTGAAAAGTGCGTATGAGCTTTTGTTTAGCCCATTGATGTTGATGAAAATTTACAAAATACTTTTTCTCTCTTTAATGGAAATTTCGATATTTACTAACCATTATGCCACATGATGTTTTTTAAAATTTTGTGATTTTAGAAATGTATCCCACATTGAATGCGTGTAAGTATGCATTTTATGACTTATTGCATGAATAATTTTTTGTGGCTTGGGGTAATTCAATTAATAAAATTTTTATTTAGTTGCCTTTGTATATAGATGCACGATATATATAAACAAATATTTGCCATAGAACTTGTGGTCCCGAAATGCATATACAATATTTAAATGCTCTTTTCACTACACAAGTACGAATAAATACATGTACATATGGAAATATATATCCAAAACTAAAGTTGATTAAATTCATGAGATCATTTTGTTGAAGTGAAGGAAAGAAAGAAGATTTTTCACGATCTTTTTTTTTTGTCAAGTTTTCGTATCCATTTATTATTTATTATTGGGAATTGTACCGAAAGTTGTTCAATGTTTCATAATTTTCTGCTTGATGTGCTAGTGTGTTCGTCACATCCGTGAATAATTTAAAAAAAAAAAAATTTGTCGATTATCATAAGTTTCTTAACAAATTCGCGAAACAAATTCCCAAAAGGAAAGTTTGGATTGTTTACACTTCAGCTATTACGAACTTATCAATGAGTTTTTCATGGTTCCACTACATTTTCCTGCTCCGGTGTACACAAAGTTTCATATTTTTCTTCAACATTTTCGACTTTCAAAGGTCAAGCCTCGAACAGATTAGATTGACGAATATACACAAACTACATTGACTCAGATAGCTGTTCAAGTAGTTTAAAAATATATACACTTTTTACGTTGTTCGATGTTGTTCGTTGTTCAAGCCAATTGCAACTACACACCCAAGCACTGCAGAGTAATCCACAACAATGGAAAAAAATTTTAAAAAATATTTTATTTGAAGATGTGGTAGAAATAAGGTATGATATCAGACATTTAACCGTTTGAGTCCCAGTTCAACACCGTTCAATACCGTTGAGAAAACACTGCTTAATACCGTCTGGATTTTCTCGACATAAACTCTAAACACCGCGATCGCGCTGCTTGGGATTATTCGACAGTGTCTTTTTAAAACCGTCTGGGGGAAATGTACATGGACTCAGCGTAAAACGATCATCACTACTTCACATAACAACTTACTATTACTATAACATACTCATTTCATATATATATGTGATATGATGAAGTGAAAACTTTATTGCGTTATTCTATATAGTGGTTATAGAAAATTAACTCAAACAAACCAAATATTTGGTTTTTTTTTTTTTTTTTTTTTTTTTTCAAATCCACAACACTCTGACATTTGTGTGTACATGTAACCGCACTAAAACTTTTATATGCATTTAAAAGTAAAACGGGAAAACCATAGTAGCATTGAAATATCATGCAAAAAAAAAAAAGCATGAAAGGAAATCAGAAATGGATTAATGAGCATAATCAGTAGGGTCATTATGGAATTATACAACAACATGAAACCACTAAATATGTATTTCGGTAATTATGCACTTTATCTAAGTGTATGTATATATGTCCACTATCATTATACCAATCAATATTTTCTGTCCGTCGGTCCATTTGTTGATGTTGGCCCGGATATCTTTTGATTTATGGACGAGCATTATTGAAAGTGAATTGGGACGAACCATTTTACAGTCACTTCCAATATAATACCAGGTTGAGAATAATACGATTTTTGAAGTGAAAAGCAATTTCGCTAAATTTGGACTATGTGCAGTTGAGTCGCCTTTCTTCTAAAGATTGCTGTATTTTGTTGAGAAGAAAAAAAACATAAGTAAAGCAAAATGGTGTAGGGTATTTAATGGTTGACCTTGCCCGACTATAATGCGTTTACTTGTTTTTTGTTTTTTTATCCCTAGCACCGCCTTGCCCCATACGAACGCATGAATAAAACTGAAATTAATTGTTGTCATTCACTAATCTTTCGAAAGCTCTATGTATGTGACATTGTATGAACAATGGATTTTGTTGAGAAAGGTCGACAATCGCTATAGATGCGCTTCTATATATGGTTGACAATTTGAATAAGTGGTTGAATGAATGAATGAATGAATGACTAGTTGCTGAATAGAAAACAAAGAGAAAATTTCAATATTCACATGCGACAATAATTACAAAAAGAACACATGCACATAACTTATAATCATTAGGAAATCTTTTCCTATCATTTATTTGCTATGAATTTTGTGCTCATTTGCAAAATCCTTCATATTGTTTATGCGTATTTCCGTGCTTTGTTTTTTTTTTTTGTTTTTTTCTTTCTCCTGTAAACTTACTTACCGTCATTGCGATTGATTTCGTATACTTGTTTAACGCCTCCACTAAAAATAGTTCCTTTTATTATAACAGCTAAAGATACCAAAATCACAGTTACTGTTTGTATAACATCAGCGTTAATAGCTGCTTTAAGGCCACCCTAATATTAAATATAAAATTAATTACATTAGTTCAAAATTAATTAGTTAGTTCATACTTACTTTTATCGAAAAGAATATACATATGATTGACATGCCAGTTATGGAAGCCCAATACGGTATACCAATAACTGTTGATAGGGCAACACTTGGCGTATAGACTGTAATGCCCAATGTACAAATTTGCCTGACTATATAGTTGGCCGAAGCCAAACGTCGTACTACTAGACTTTTAAATCTGAAAGGAAATACAAAAAAGAAAGAAAAAAAAAAAAAACTCATTTAAAATTAGTTTACAACATCAGCTAATTAAATCTATGTGTGTATGTCATACTATGTTCAGTCCTTTTAATATATAAAAAACTTTTTATTTATTCATTTTGCAATAGATGAACATTCGTGTTTTCACCCGTGTTTGGTGATTAGCGATTACATCGTAGAGCCGTAGAAGTTTAAGTGATTGAAAGATTGAAGTCATGAAGACATAATTGATAGTTGAAAGCACTCGGGGATAGGTTTGTTTTTAATATTGTGTTAAATGTGTCTTTAAGACATGCCTTAATCTTTGAAACCTTGATTAAAGCGTTGCTTTAATTGGTGATGATAGCAATAACGTAGGGGGCGTTTAGATCCTATTTTCTATTTTACTTATTATGACAAAGTAGTTGAGCTTTGATTGCATTCATTAAATTTGGTCTTCTCTAATATAACCAACTTCGGCATATTTCCGGAAGAATGTATATCATCCAACTATCCTGATCTCATCAAGCTGTTCAAGTAGGCCAACTTCTGCGTCCACCACAAACGACAATTGGCGATTTTTCTTTCGGAAAACCGATTATGAAAAACATTTAACCTATCTATGATGATGTTGAGGGATCTCTGTCTGCTGTTTATTCCAATCTTTATGCTTTGATATCTGAATGCGTCTGTGTTAAAGCGAACGTTTGAGGTGAGCGTTCTTCTGCGGAATTGCGCCTTATTGTTTACTAATCATGAAGTTTTTAATCCTATGGCTCCCTTAATGAAATTATCGTATAGTCTTGCTCCAGTTGGTTGCCATCTTGTATATTGAGGGATTATGCTAGTATTTTACAAGTAACCTTTACTTTCTTGTTCAATTCTTCTCTTTGAGGAGCCTAATTTTATGGGCACTGAAAAAGAGTTCTGTTTAATCCTCCCTCACAAGAACAAGAAGAAGGTGCTAGAAACAATGTCAAATGTCGTTGTGACGCGGCTGATTTTTTCTATTTTCAAATTAAAAGTTTATGGCATAGACGTGTGGGCGTTGTCAGCGAGTCCTTGGAAAAGTTTAGGTCACTTCCAAATTCTTTTGCAGATTTGATGGCGATATATATTTATTTTCGCTAACGGGAGAATATTTATCAGAAATACTACAGAGACGGATGGATGGATGAATGGACGGAAATGGTTAGATGTGTTTCAAATTTGACACTGGCCAAGAATGTGTATACTTCCGGGGATTTTTGGAAGCCTGTTTCTGTGCGCTATAAAGGGTTTGAAAAAATAAATTAAATTGCACTATAAAATCGAGTGGGCGTGACAATTTTTCGCATTTTTGAAGAGGCATGTGCGTTCAAATTTTTGTAGATTTAGTTTATGAATAATGAGCAATAAACCAGTTTTTTAACTTTGGAAAGCAAAGGTTTTTCCACTTACGTACTATTGTAGGCGTGCCCTGCGCGCAAGAGCTTTCAATGTTTCTGCCAAATTTGAAGTCAATCGTTTCATATCTGCAACTAGGAGAATGTTTATAATATACCGCCACACAGACGGACACATGGACAGACAGACACACGGACATGGTTAAATCGATTTAGACTTTGATAGT